GACCCCTCCTCCATCTCCCCCAGCCCCTTCTCTCCCCCAGCCCCTTCCCCACATCCACCACCCCCTCAGGCCCAGCTCTTCCCAGCCCCTGACCCACCTCAGGCCCCTCTCTCCGCTGACCCCTCAGGCCCGGCTCGTTCCCCTCAGCCCCCTCTCCATCCCTCCCCACAGACCGACCTCACCTCCGCCGCCGGAATTCCCGCCACGGCTTCGCTGCCCCGCCCTCCCACCGCAGCCAGCCAACCAGAAGGAAGGAGGTACGATCGAACCAATCACAAGTCAGCGAAGATGGAAGGAGGAGGGGGTTGAGGCCGCCGCCGGACCAATCGGTGAACCCCTCGCCTTCCGCGGTTCGAGAAGGCCCCGGGCGGGGAAGTTCTACGCCTGCGCGTCGGTGGCGGCGCCGGAGGGGACTACATCTCCCAGCAGGCTCTGCGACGGGTGACGGGTGCCCGCCAAGGTCAAATCTCCGCAAAAGGCGGCGCGGGGCGCGGCACTGGGCGCTCTTGTCCTCCCCGTCCGTCTGTCGGTCCGTCCCCGCGGTGGTTTGCGAGGCCGTTCTGGGGGAAATGCACGGGGAAATGCAGCCACTCCTCTGCCTTCCTCTCCTGCCTCTGGTTTGGCCCCGATGGTAAAAAAAAAAAATTAAATAAATACCATTTTGGGGGAATTTTTGGCAGTAACTCAGAAGGCGTCAAGCGCCGCTCAGGTGCCGTAACCCCCAAATCAGGGTCCTGATCCAGCCCCCCCAGGAGATGGTGGCATCAAACACCTCGGGAGGAGCAGCAGTGGGATGTGCTCCCCTCCCACCCCCAAATCCCAAAAGGGTGACCCCCAGCTGTGGGTCACCCCAACTGTGGGTCACCCCCAACTGTGGGTCACCCCCTTGTTCTCAGCACCGGCCCCGGGGCTCCCGTCCTGCTGGGGGGAGGACGGGGTGTCACCACGGGCAGGTGGGTTCCCAGCTCATCTCTCTTCATTTGAAGCAGGGGGGTTTCCCCGCCTCACCTGCAGAAATCTGTAAAAACGAGCTCACCTGCAGAAATCTGTAAAAACGAAAAGATTCTTAATATCCCGATTTCCCCCCGAAAAGAGAGCTGTTTGCTGATATTTAATTTGCAGAGAGTGACTGGGTTTGGTTCGTGGAGGGGGAAATATCTCAGCAGGGAGATCTCAGACCATCCCACTTTGTTTCCAGCTTCTCTTCGATTCCACCCGGCTGCGTTTCTAAAGGACAATTTTAAGAGGTGTCTTTGGGGCGTGCAGCCGAGCTGCTGGAGCCCCTCTGCTGGGAGGGGGGGCTGAGAGAGTTGGGGGGGGTCAGCCTGGAGAAGAGAAGGCTCCGCGGAGACCTTGGAGCCCCTTCCAGTCCCTCAAGAAGGGGGGCTCCAGGAAAGCTGGGGAGGGACTCTGGCTGAGGGAGGGGAGCCCTAGGAGGAGGGGGAAGGGTTGGACCCTGCAAGAGGTGAATTTTAGATGAGCTGTGGGGAAGAACTTGTTTGGTGGGAGGGTGGTGAGAGCCTGGCCCAGGTTGCCCAGAGAAGCTGTGGTTTCCCCTGTGACCCACCCCTGCGTGGCCATCACACCCCCTTGATATTGCTTTTAATAACAGATATGAAATAAAACCACAGCATCAGTCTGAAATATTTCCTTGTGTCCTAAAAACAAGGATCCAGACGCAGGGATGCAGTATCACCCCCCCCCGAGCCCCAAACCCTGGCTCCACGTAGAGATGCTACGGGGAGGATGAGGCTGGTGGGATGTTGGGTACCACCCCATGGTCTTCCCAGCCATGTCCGGCTGGCAGGGAGGGTTTTAATTGCTTTCTCTGGATTTTTATTCCCTTATTATCATGGCAGCATCCTTCAGCTGCCACGATGTCCTGCAGAAAGGAGCCCATGGCTTTTCCTTCCTCCTCTCCCCTTCCAGCTGCTCCCTGCGTTTCTGTATTTTATCCTCAAAAATAATCATTTTCTTATTAACTTTTCTGCCCAGGCAGGCTTTTGTAGACCTCTATCTAGCACGCCTGCCCCGAGCTGCCTCTTTCCCCATCCCTCATGGGGGGACCACCCCATCCTTCCCACCCCTTGCCCAGCATCATCCAGAAACCCACTCCTGCTATCGGCGATAATTGTTATTTTCACATTTGGGTTAAAAAAGATAATTAAGCCTCAAGAGGACCGGTGGTGTGGTCAGTCTGTCCTTCCTCACCCGCATGGCATCCAGCACCAGCTCCTCTTTGCTCCACAAACACATCGTCCCACGTGTCGGGGTGCTGGGGGGGGGCATATTTTAATGGACCAATCTAAATAAATAAAGATAAAATAAATCAAAGCCCTGTATGTTAAACATCAGGCCCGCTGGGACAGTTTGGACTCTATTAAAAGGCGCTGCACATTCCTCCGGTGACTCAGAGGTTTTATGTGCTAAAGACGACAGTGATGTAGCAGTTTTTCTTTTGCAAAGTGCAAAATGATGGGATTTGGGGGTTATTTTGGTTTTTCTTTTTGGTGCATCGCGGTTTAGCAGGTACCAGGCTCCTTGCTGGGAGGATGCTGGGACCCGCACTGGGAATGACGGGGTGAGGCCGGTCGACTGATGGGCAAGAGGTGAAATTTAGTTGCTGCTGAGCCAAGAAATCCCTTATTGGTTTTGGGTTGTTTTTTTTTAATTGATTGCTGACCCTGTTTCATTAAACTTCAAGCTCTTTTTCTCCCCGACGTGAACCCAGCACGAGCTTTCGGGGCTGTGCAGGGACGGATGCGTGATGGTGCTTTGGGCTCAGCACCACCCTCCCCTCTCAGATGGGACCATGGGCACCTCAAAACCCCAATCCTCACCCCAAAAACCTCCCCAGGGCATTTGTGCTGGCTGGTATTCCTGGGTTGGTATCGGCTCCCAGCGCCAATAGGTATCTCAGTGTCTGTAAACGATGGCAATCTCCCGGGGAAGCTGATTGCTAATTATCTTCTCTCCCAGGGGAAGCTGCTCCATCGAAGCCAAATGTCACCCATCAACACCCCGGGGTGGGGGGAGGACACACAGGGGGTCCGGGTACCAGCAGGGATGAAGCTATATCCCCATCCCACGTCCGGCGGAGGATGGCACGGGGTGGGGACGCAAGAAAAGAGAGAAAAAGCTCACATTAGAGTCAAAACTCCTTTGTCTGCCCCACGGCAGGTGGGAGGTGGCTGCGGGGACTTTCCGACCACCTGATGGATGTTGGGGGGGGGGGAAAACGGCC